TATAGGGTGAGAATAGCCCAAGGAGGAAGAAGGGCAGAAGGGAAGAGACCATTTAGGTTATTATAATAACCCAGAAGATGACTGCGGTTTGTGTTTGGAGGTGATAAAAGTGATTGGATTCTATATACATCTTGAAGATAGCGTCAGCAGGATTTTCCAGGGACTGGATGTGGGTTTTGACTTCAACGTTTTTGCCTTGAGGAACTGGAAGGATGGTTCCGGCACTGACCAAGATGGGGAAGACTGAGGGCAGGACAAGTTTGAGAGGGAAGTTTCAGAGTTCAGTTTGGAGCATGTCAACTTTGTCCATTAGATATCTGAGTAGAGCAGTGGAGTAGACAACTGAATACACATGCCTGGAGTTCAGGAATTCTGGAAGGAATACTTTCCGGTGGTCTGCCAGCGATGTCTATTACAAAATCAAGAAGGCTGGCCCCTCCTCTGGAAGAGTTGACATGTGCCTATGTGCCTACACCTGCCTAGGAACAATCAGTGCTACAGAAGCCTCCAGGCCAGTACAAAGCAAGGGGCAGACTGGTGCCAACAGATGTAGGGATTTCAAAGGTTTCCAGGGGACAGGGGGCAGCCAGCACAGTTGGGAAGGATGAGCAGGGGCTTCTGCTGCTTTGTACTCAGAGCGGTACCCTGAGGAACATCTGTCCCTCAGTCCCACAAGATAGGCAATATGACACTCCCCAGGGCACTGTCAACCCGGAAAAGAAGTTCTGGGCAAGTGGTATGTATTGGCTTGCAGATTCACTATTGCCATTTTTCAGGATTCACAGGATTACAGAAAGACAATCGCTAAGTCTGCTAGCTTCTAGTTTCTCTTTTGGTCTCTTTCTGGTTCTGCCCCAAATTCACCTCAGCACCCAGAGGCATGCATTCCTCTCCTCTGGTTCTTGACATTTCCTGAGACTCCACCGGGACAAATGTACAAGGATTTGCTCTCCAGCACTTGGTCTTGGGTCAATGTTTCAACTAATATTCCTAGGACTGCCAGTGACACCTCTGAACCTAGCTGGACTCCATCTTGCTACCTACCCCTGACAAGGGTGCTGTGGTGAGGGGAGGCCAAGGTTCCTGGGGCATTTTCTTCCTCCCCCACTCCTATATTAAACTTAGACCCAGGGGCCTGAGAGACATGTCCAGAGTGGGACTGACTGATTTGACAAGCTTGAGTTGAGGGTTTAGATTTGACCTTTTAGCTGACCCCCAGTGCAAAGACTAATCTTCTGCAGAGTCATTTTATTGCCTGGAATGGTGCTGTTGATTTTACAAGGTTTATGACAGCTCAGCTTAAGTACAGCTAGCTGGAGCCAGGAGTAGGGGAAGGATTTCCCCTGGAGTGAGGATTTGCCTGGAGCTCATGTGGTCTTATCAGCAGAATCCTCCACATTGCCAAGGGAGAGAGACCACTTCCATAGTTCCTACAACATCTGGGCAGCAGGCTAGAGGAGACCAGCATGTTGATAGTAAGAAGTTTACAGAAATCTAGTGATCTCCTGGCATCTTGTTTTGGCTCCATCAAACACCTACCCCAAAGAATAAATTATTTCTCCACAGCATGTGAAAAGGAGACGAGGCCAACCTGAGTTTATATCCCAACCTCGTCACTTATTAGCTATGTGACCTTGGCCAAGTAAATAACATTTCTGTGCCTCAGTGTCCTCATCTGTAACATGCAGAGTTACCACAAAGGATGTCTTGAAGAATACATTTCTGGCATATAATGGGCTATTGATAAGTGTATTTCTCTTCAGTTTGTGGCTACTCACCTTATCTTCCACCTGTAGCTCCTCTCCCACAGCCTTCAGGAAGGTTGATCTGATGAACCCACGGAGGAGGTAAAGAGATAGAAGCGGAGGGAAATCAGGATTCTCATTGAGAACAAAATGAGGCCATGTTGACTTCTAGTGTTCAATTTGCGACGGTTTGAGCCACTGCCAGCTCCACTGACTTCTCGTGTTATCTGCTCTGTCACTCTACTTCTGTTCCACCACTGTCTGTGGCCACCAAAAATTCTGCAAGGCAACTGCTATTGCCAGTGTCCCTGGAGGGATATGTGGGGACCCCACCAAGGTGCTCCCCCAGCCTGACACTGGCCAGGATTCAGGGCTGTACCTGCCTCACCTCTCCTGGTTCCACCTGCGTGTCTCAGCCCCATCACTTTGCCCTTAGTTCTGGCCCTGTACTTCCTGGTT